AGATGCCTGTGTATGTGTGTAAGACCGAGGAAAAGAGAGCTCCATTCATAGCTCTGTTGATGCCGCGAGCGGCTTTTTTCTTTTCTTTTTATTGTTTTAATTTATTTTGGAGATAATACACTATATGAATGAAACAAAGACATTAAACTTTACAAATTTCATATCCACTTTTGTAGGCTCAAAACATTAGTGTCATATCTAGATAAAATATCCCTATATTGAAATAATTTAAAGAATTACAAATATCAGATATAATAAAATCACATTAAATAAATAAACCAATATAAAACTATAGCTATAGCAATTAGGTACTATATCAAACTGTTTCAAATTTATATTAAACTTTCATTTTTCAAAAGCCTCTTTGAAAAAAAAGATTTGAGATATTTTCTAAAAATAAATAAATAAACTCCGGAAAATGTTTTAAATATTATTTATAATGTGTTTTGATACGATGAAATTAATTAAATCATACAAACAGCATTTTCGGGGTGAGTGTACGCAGAAACTAGGCGACCTTTTTTTCTGTCTTTCATCTGCGCAGCACTTTTTTGACGGGGAAAACTCCAAGTTCAAAATGTGTTCTGTGTTCTCAAACAAGTGTGTATGTTTTTATATAAAGTGGTAAAAATAAAAAATTTTATAAGCTCATTTATTACTCCCTAAATTACACATAAAATTAGAAGGTCCATAATTGATGATATATGTTTTGGGTCGTGAATATTAATGAGCTCTGCTCTGACTTGCTCCTCTTACAGACACACACAGAGGATAAGTTACGTTGAACACAGACCAATATAAACCCAATCACAGTTGCGCTAAACTATTTTGCTCACCAGGGGCCTCATGTACAAAGACTTGCGTTGAAATCATACTAAAACATTGCGTACGCACAAAGCTATAAATGTGCGTACGCAGTAAAAAATTCAGTTGTATGAAACACTGCGTACGCTAAATCACATGCATATTCTCTTTGTACATCCGAATGAACGTGAAACTAAGCATGCACGAGCCCAAAACCCCTCCCTGCCTCCTCCCCCGTATGAATATGCTAATGACTCTACTTTGGCAAAACCCAACGAAAAAGCAATGGAAAAAGCAAGCAAAAAGAGAAACTTTGAACAGAATGTGAATTCTAGGTGCTGCTTTCGGAGGTGGATTGGAGAAAGGCGGTGTTATTAGCAAGTTTGTCCTTCGGAATAATAACAAAAGAAAAAAAATAGAGTGGGAGAGTTTAGCTGATGCGGTTAACACAGCTGGGTCTGAACATCGCACTGAGTGGATTAAAAAAAGAAATAGTGTGATTTATATGTGTAAAATTTTAAAGCGTGTTTAACAGTGTCAGTGGTGTAGCTCGTAAAACGCATGGTAACATGTTTTGACATGTTCGAGCATGAACTCTGTTCGAATCCAGCGTCTGATGAACCAGATTTTGCCTATCCTCTTCATTATGAGGAAGACAAGTAGGAATCATTAATAAGTCTGTGCATCATATTTTATTTGCACGTTTATTGAATGGAAATGTTGAAATGTTTTCACGTATGCAAACTCATCTTCAGATGGTGCCTTTATAGCAATGTGTGTGCAACAGATTGCTCCGATTACATTTTGAAAAACGGCGACTGCTGCAAATTGCGCATTCATTTTTGGCTGGTCAACTGCTTGGTATGGAAACCTTATATACCTGCTAGACATGCAGAAGAACCCGTCTCATACAGCTGCCATTGCACAGCTCAAAGACACTTTGTAGAGTGCAATTTAACACAATTGCCTCTAGAAGTCGCCAATAGAAATAAAACAGACACGCACAAGAAATGTACGTACGCCAGGAATGAAGTTGGAGTGGAATCATGCACGTTCCCACGTTCATTTCATCGTTAGTTAATCCAAACGTGAGCGATTCTGAGCGTGAAACCTGGCGTACGCAAAGTTTTTGTGCGTACACAGCGTTGAAACATGAGGCCCCAGATCTGTTGTGGATAAAGGCTAAATTATAATAAATTATAATTAAAGTTGACAAAAGAGATTGATGGAGATGTATCGCATTGTTTTTTTTTTTTAGCTATAGTCAAAGAAAACAGCACATATGACAGATGAGCGGAGTGATTAGACATGATTCAACAGTTACTTGTGTTTTTTGAAACACACACATTAAATTTTGTAATAAACACAATAAATTAAAAAAAGATATAACTAAATATACCTTATGTTTCTTTGGTGTTGAGTTGAATAAATGGGTAATCTGTAAATATTGCATTTTGTGACCTGTGGCAGGTTGGAACATGTCTTGTGCTATTGTTCCCCAGTAACGCAGTAAACTATTTGGTGCTTTGGTGAAATATACACTTAAAATAACTAAGGGAGGAATGTTATACCTGTTGTCTCACTAGAAAATGTTTGACTTAATAACCTGAGATATGCATATTAATGTTCTGAGTTTTTTAAGATCTCAGCAGTAAATGAGTCATGTTCTCTTAATGACGTGATTGGTCATTAGGTCTGGATAAATTACCTAAAGTAGGCATACATGCAAATGCACTGTTTGTTTTGTCTTCTGAATGGCCTGTTGTCCACCAGGGTTTTACTCTTGTAGAATTTACATGAGAAAAAAAAAAAGTGCGGTGTGAGGCTCACAGTACAACCATTTCCATACATTGATCTTTTATTATTCTACTTGTATACCCAGATTTTCATTGTAGGGCACATTTAATACGATTGAGACTACTCTAATTAAGAGCCTACCATGTAAACAGCGTTTTTTTTTTTTTTTTTTTTTTGATTACCTTAATCCGACTAAAGTCATATTCGAACTAAACAGAAATCTAATTTAGGGATGCAATGATTAACAGATTTCTCTATTAATCGTACTTTATTTGTCATGTTTAATTAATTGTAAAGGCTTCTTACCACAGAGTTTCTACACAAAATAAAACTGCTGCAACTGAACAAAGTTATGTCAGCTGTGCGTTAGTTAAAAGTTCCAAGCTTGTATACTGAGCCTAATACCCACGCACACTGAATTAACTATAGCTGAGGCTATTACTTAAAGGCAGTTCACATATTGCATCGTTTACGCACAAGTTGTTATTTCCAATGGAGGCACGCAATCAGCCTTCATTCTTTACTAGTTGAAAGAATGCTGTGGGCACACTGTCACGCGAAAAGAACTGGCTCATCAGCGTCATACTTTAAATGGAATAAACACATTTCTACTCCGAAGAGAAAAAAATACAAAATGAATAAAACACACAATTTTGAAATATAGTTGATCAAAAAATGTTTTTCAGACAGATTCAGCAGCTGTTGACATAATTCTTTTAAGAAGGGAAATACTTAGCCAATGTGCAGCTTAGATCTACACAAGACAAATCATTTTTTTATTCAGTTTTTTATTTATTTATTGTTTTTTTTATATTTAGTTTAAAATTATTGCTTGTGTTTAAAAGTCTAAAGAGAAATGGACCATTGTTTGTTTTTTTATTATTTTTTTGTCCTGCTGTGTTAATTGGTTACTGAGCAGCAATAAATTTACTTAAAAATGTAGGGAGTTTTCACGTGATTTTCTAAACTAGTAGTGTTTTGAAATGAATAAATGCATATTATTCATGATAATCAAGAAACCGTAATTATTCCATCATACAACCATAATCTATCATCGTTGCATCCCTAATCTGATTAAGATATGTGGAGTATGCCTATTTTAGTTGCATTATTGGAAGTGCAGTACAGACATGTAAACACCTTAATCAAACTATTACCGTCATGTAGGATTTTTGCCACATTTTGTGACAGGATATTTCATACACACATGGCTGTTTGACACTATTTTCTGCTCCTACCTAGTCAGTAAAGGACCAAAGACACACACATTGCGAAATGCAGAGGTTTTTTCTTTTCTTTCGACATGCGGTATCCATTAATTTCCATTGCAACAACACTCTTCCACCAGTCTTTACTCCATACTCGCATCCAATACCACAGTTTGTCATGGGGGCATGAATGAAATGTTCCTGAATGAAAGTGAAACTGTTGAAGTGCAGTTAAAGTTGAAAAATTAATCTATCTATCTATCTATCTATCTATCTATCTATCTATCTATCTATCTATCTATCTATCTATCTATCTATCTATCTATCTATCTATCTATCTATCTATCTATCTATCTATCTATCTATCTATCTATCAATATATGTATATATATATATATATATACACGTGCGCACACACACACACACACACACACACACACACACACACACACACACACACACACACACACACAGTTGAAGTCTGAATTATTAGCCCCTCTTTCATTTATTTGTTTTATTTCGGCTAGAATAAAAGCAGTTTTTAATTTTTTATGAGCCATTTTAAGGTCAAAATTATTAGCCCCTTAAGTCTCCAGAACAAACCATTGTTGCCTAATTAACTTGCCTAATTACCTTAATTTGACTAGTTAACTAACCTGGTTAAGTCTTTAAATGTCACTTTAAGCTGTATAGAAGTGTCTTGAAAAATATCTAGTCAAATATTATTTACTGTCATCATGGCAAAGATAAAATAAATCAGTAATTAGCAATGAGTTACTAAAACTAATATGTTTAGAAATGTGTGGAAAAAAAATCTTCTCTCCGTTAAACAGAAATTGGGGAAAAAATAAACAGGGGGGCTAATAATTTAGGGGGGCTAACAATTCTGACTTCAACTGTATATATATTTATATATAAATATCTATACATCTATATATGCGTGTCTGTGTGATGTATGTAAAATTTGGCCCGCAACAACGTTTTTTTTTTTTGCATCTGGCCCTCGGCCCAAAAAGTTTGGACACCCCTGATGTAAACGTAGTCAGTGGTTGTTTATTCCGGTCCTTGAGCCACCCACCCCATGCCCCATGGCCATTTTTTATGTCTTTTCTACTTACCACACCTTATTCAATTCATCAGCTTGTTAACTGAGAGATGCATGAACTGATCCTTTTGTGTAAAATAAGAGAGACATACAAAATGCGCAGGGCAGGGTGGGGACCATGAGGACCGGAATTGGAAACCACTGTCTTAAGTGATTTAAAAATGGAAACACTTCAAACTGAAAAACAAAACCACAGTTGTTAATTCCTTTAAAGTCCCTAAAATGTATTAAAATATTGGTAACTATGTATCTGCTTTGTACCTATCTACAGTCTTATATGTATGGTGACTACATCGTATATGACTTCTGGCTTGGAAAGGTGTATGATCTCAGCATCCAAATAGTTGTGAAGCTTTCCAATGGTGCACGGTAATGTGATCAAAATGTCTTCTTGTGAGTGATTATTAATTAGATTACTATGCGATTTGACATGATATTTAAATGTTATATTTATATACACTTATGTGTTTTTAATGTATATTCGTTTCTTTATAGATGTTCTATGAGTGAGGAAGATGGAGCAAAATTGTATGATATTTACCCTCACATCAGTGATGTGGTAAGTGCCCAGAATTTTTATTATTATTATTATTATTATTTTTTAAATCTTAGTTGGTCTAATTTGTTGTCCTACACTTCATTCATTCTGGTAGTAGAATTATGCCGGTCACTTCATTTTAATTTGCCCTAGTACAACAACATCTTACTAAATGACCTCATAACTATATTGTGAGTTTTTTTTTTTTTTTTGTAGGGATGCATGATATATCGACACCCATATCGTTATCGGCCGATAAATGTTATTTTTAAGATTATCGTTATCGATTCGTTGTCTAAATTAAGCCGATATCTTTAAGCCGATAATTTACGTAATTGTACAGAACTGCCTGCCTCGCACATGCGTAGGCGGAACTTGTTCAGACCTGTCCAGTGCACTATAATGGAGCCCTCCTCACATTGTCTATTCCTTCAAAGTCCATCCTTTCTTCATGTCGTATTGCTGTGCGTTAATAACTCCGTAAGTAACCATATTCCTTATCATTGTAGGTATCTTTGATAAAGTGTCATTGTGTATTTTGATTTAAATTGCCTCCAAAAAACATTACATGTGTTAAGGCAAGGCAAGGCAAGTTTATTTGTATAGCACATTTCATACACAATGGCAATTCAAAGTGCTTTACATAAACAAGAATAAAAGAAGCAAGTAAAATAAAAATAAAAACAAATAATAAAAATGCGTAAAAACAAAACAAAACATAAAAACAGGTAAAATGTGATATAAAAGAATGAAGAAGAAGAGAAAAACATGATAGTGCAATCTGTCGGACGCAGCACAGTGCTCATTCAGTAAAGGCACAGCTAAACAGATGTGTTTTTAGTCTTGATTTGAATGTGCCTAATGTTGGAGCACATCTGATCATTTCTGGAAGCTGATTCCAGCAGCGAGGGGCGTAGTGGCTAAAAGCCGATTCACCCTGCTTTGAATGAACTCTTGGAAACTTCTAGTTTATATGATCCTAAAGATCTGAGTGATCTGTTAGGTTTGTATTCAGTGAGCATATCTGTGATGTATTTAGGTCCTAGGCCATTTAGGGATTTATAGACCAGTAATAATACTTTAAAATCTATTCTGAATGTAACTGGGAGCCAGTGTAGAGACCTGAGTACAGGTGTGATGTGCTCTGATTTTCTGGTTCTGGTTAGAATTCTGGCTGCAGCGTTCTGGATGAGCTGCAACTGTCTGACTGTCTTTTTAGGAAGACCATTGAGGAGTCCATTACAGTAATCCACCCTGCTGCTGATAAAAGCATGAACAAGTTTTTCTAAATCTTCACTAGAAACAAAGCATCTGATTCTTGCTATGTTTTTGAGATGATAGTATGCTGATTTACTGACTGCTTTGACATGACTGTTGAAACTCAGATCTGACTCAAGAGTCACACCAAGATTCTTGACCTTATTTTTTGTCGTTTGACCTTTAGTGCCAAGGTACGCATTTACCTTGAGAACCTCATCTTTGTTTCCAAACACAATCATTTCAGTTTTCTCTTTGTTTAACTGAAGAAAGTTTTGGCACATCCAGTTGCTCATTTCATCAATGCATTGGCAGAGGGTGTCAATGGGGCTGTAGTCATTAGGCAGTAGGGTTGTAACAATATACCGGTATGATTCAAACTCCGGTTGATACCGGTTGGTTCAAACTCGCTATATCACAACCAATAAGCATAGGTTTCGCTTTTGTTTGTGGACCAACAATGAGCTTTTTGAACAACACGGAATGAGAGATAGGCATACATTTATGCGCGGCTAAATAAAACGCATAAAAAAAAGTTTTGCATGAAATAATTCTCATACTAAGTACTTTTGCATGCACAGCAGCACAGAAACATGACAAAACAGTGACACAGCAAAGACGAACTGCTGCTCTTGCTGTTTTCAAAAGACGCAAATGAAGGTGCAGCTGTTTGTCTGCATTGCAGACAACCATATCCAAATCCATATCCACAGACAACCATATCCATGCTGGCACATAAAACCTAAGGATGTTCCATATTGAATCTAGTTTCGTTATACCTTTATAGTATAGTAAATATTTATATCTATTTTTTTACTGAGGATTTGCACCATGTTTATTTGGACTTTGACACATTATTTATTATTTTCTTATTTTTTTATTTGTTCGTTGTACAAGTGGACACATTCTCTCACCTCAGCGGTCAAGATTAAGTCCTGAAAATCTCAACATGCTTACATTTCTTCATCACAACCTAGACTGAAAAAAACAACGCTTTAAATACATGTTTACAGCCATAAACTTGGTATTGCACTTTTGGTCTCTCATTTATCCTGCTTACAAGGAAGGACAGTTTAAGTTTATTTTTGTCTAATCTTAAAAGACCTTGCTTGTTTATTCCTTCTAATTTAATTTATTAAAATGGGAAATTTTTCAGTTTATTTTTATAAAAGACTTCTATAGTTCTATTAAAATGGTTCTTTCAAAAGTTTGTTGAAATAAAACCTTTGTTCAGTCAGAAAACGTGTTCTTATTCTTTTCAGGGTCTTTGCTATGAGAATTACTATTTAATACCGTATACCGCGAAACCGTCAAACCGTGGTATTGTTTTAGATGATTATCATACTGTAAAAAATTCATACCGTTACAACCCTATTAGGCAGTAAGGTAGATCTGAGTGTCATCAGCATAGCTGTGGTAGGAGATTTGGTTCTTTCTCATTATTTGACTCAGAGGGAGCATGTAAAGGTTGAACAGGAGAGGTGCCAGAATCGAGCCTTGTGGGACTCCACACGTCATGGGTGTCCACCTCGACCTATGGTCACCTATACTGACATGGTAACCTCTACCTTCAAGGTAAGATCTAAACCATTTTAGGACCGTGCCAGACAGCCCAACCCAGTTTTCCAGCCTATCCAGAAGTATGCTGTGATCGACAGTGTCAAATGCAGCACTGAGATCCAACAATACCTGCACTGTTATTTTACCTGAATCTGTATTTAGGCGTATATCATTGATTATCTTTATAAGAGTGCTCTCTGTACTGTGATGTGCTCTGAAACCAGATTGAAAATTGTCTAAACACAAGTTTAAGAACTTGTTAACCTGGTTAAAAACAACTTTTACAATGATTTTGCCAATGAAAGGGAGATTTGAGATTGGCCTGTAATTGCTCAATAGGGTGTTATCCAGGTTGCTCTTCTTCAAGAGGGGTTTAACAACTGCAGTTTTAAGTGAGGTTGGAAAAATCCCTGAGAGAAGTGAAGCATTTATCACTTTTAGAAGATCCATTTCTAAACAGGTAAACACCGTTTTGAAGAATGATGTGGGGAGCGTGTCAAGACTGCAGGTTGATGTTTTCATAACTTGCACAATTTCTTCTAAGATTTTGCCGTTAATTGCCATAAAATCAGACATAATGTCTGATTTCTTAAGTTGTGGTTGAGCTTGTTTGATATCGACACAACTTGGCTGATTGGATGAGCTGATTGCCTTTCTAATATTATTGATCTTATCAGTAAAGAAATGAGCAAACTCATTACATTTGCTTTCAGAGAGGAGCTCACTTGGAATCCGACTGGGGGGGTTTGTGAGTCTCTCTATCGTTGCAAAGAGTGTACGAGCATTATTTAAGTTGCTGTTTATAAGGCTTGAAAAGAAAGTCTGTCTAGCAGTGTTTAGTTCCATATTAAAGGCATAAAGACTGTCTTTATAGATATTATAATGGACTTCTAGTTTCGTCTTTCTCCACATACGCTCAGCTTTTCTGCACTGTCTTTTCATCATTTGTACTCTAGGTGACCTTGTCCAAGATCCCTTTTGCCTGCCAGTCATCTTCTTGACTTTAACAGGAGCGATGTCATTTATGACATTCTCAATTTTAGAATTGAACAAATCAAGGAGAGAATCAACAGAATCTGCAGATATACTTGGTGCTAGCGATATGGCCTTCATAAACTGCTCACTGGTGTTCTCATTTATGCATCTCTTTCTGACAGAGACAGATCTGTCTTTAATAGCTGGAGTGATCAAAATATCAAAAAAGATACAGAAATGATCAGATAGTGCCACATCCTTAACAACAGTCGATGAAATGTGTAAACCCTTAGTTATAAGTAGATCAAGAGTATCCACGATTGTGTGTGGGTCCTTGAACATGCTGAGTCAGATCAAAAGTATTAAAAACAGTCATCAGTTCTTTTACAGCATTGATTTCTGGATTATCAATGTGAATATTAAAATCCCCAGCAATACTAAAATAATCAAATTCAGAGGTTACAATTGATAACAGCTCTGTAAAATCCTCAATAAAAGCTGGAGAATATTTTGGAGGTCTTTAGATAATGATCAGTAAGATGCGTGGAGCACCTTTTAGTGCTATACTCAGATATTCAAAAGACAAATTGTCACCAAATGACACTTGTTTACACTCATAGACATCTTTAAACAGGGCAGCGATGCCTCCACCTCTCCTATTAGCTCTGCAAACACTCAAAAAGTCAAAGTTTAAAGGAGCTGCTTCATTCAGAACTGCTGCGCTACAACTGTCATCTAGCCAAGTTTCATTTAAAAGCATAAAATCAAGGCAATTTGTGTTGATAAAATCATTGACTAAAAGAGACTTATTGTTGAGTGATCTGATGTTTAAAAGCGCTAACTTAACAGTTTTAGCTGTTTTTTCTATAGTAGTCTCAGATCTAAATTTAATAGACACCAGATTTGAATTATTTGCTATACGGCCTGATGAAGTCTTTGGTTTTCTGTCACTTAACACAACACATATCTGCTTAGAGAAAGCTACAGACACACTAGGTTCCTGCTTGTTCTGAAAACATTTGATAAAGACACTGTTATCTAAGCAGGTCCCCGACACACATCACAGAGAGCTCTTGTGTTCACCAGCTGAAGATGGGGCGTTGTTGTTTGGGCCCTGGCGGTGTGATCGGAGGGCTCTTCCAGGTGGGCTCATAGGTGGTTGTGGAGCAGGCCGCTTTTTGGTTGGTAACTGGGGGCTTGCGGCAATGGAGTGTGAAAGTTTAGTTCCAGCATACACCAGTTCCTCCATCTTTTTTGAAAACCCAAGAGTGGTGAACATTGTGACAATGAGAACGTGTCCGGTGACAGAGGCTGTGCATCTGGAGATTCTGTCTGCAGAAATATGTTTTCCTGAGGATCTTTTTTGAGTGACGAGACTTAATGCTGTTCTGATGCGTCACAGTCTGCCTGTGTTGAGCAGAGGGCAACACTGTCTCTATAGTGAAGATAGTGTCTCTATCAACATTGGGTGTTTTGGCTGCATGGCATTATCACTGTCCTTGGGTGATTCGTCAGCCACAAGTCCACTCAGGAGCTGATTTGAGGTCCTGTGGTCATCCGGACATTTGCTAGGTGTGTGTGTACAATTCAGTTCAGTGGCATACACAGCTGATGGATGATTGAGGGAGAAACAAATATTGTCCTTTAGCACCTTTGCACCAAGTTTGTTTGGATGAAGGCCGTCTGATGTAAACAGCTGTCTTTGGTTCCAGAAGAGATTGAAGTTGTCGATGAAATTCAGTCCTTTCTTGTTACATGTTTTCTGTAGCCATACATTTAGACCAAGAAGCCGTGAAAACATATTTGTCCCTCTTGCAGGGAGTGGTCCACTTATGAACGGCTGAACCTTCAATCTTTCAGCTGTTTCCAAGAGCTCACAGAAATCTTTCTTGAGCAGTTCTGACTGTTCCTTTCGAATATCATTCTTTCCCAAATGGATGATAATCCGTTTTGCAGTACTGTGCTTTTTCAGAATTTCCTCAAGTTCTTTGTTTACATCAGAAACTGTTGCATGAGGAAAGCAGTATGTCATAGTAGATTTGCTCCTGAAATTCTTGATTATTGAATCTCTTACGACTAGTGTTCTTATCTCAGGTGTGATCGGAGCAGAATGCCGCTGTCTAGTCGGCCTTGAGCCTCTGTTCCATGCAGAATTAGTTGCTGAATCATGCGATCTCTGTCTGACTGCATTTGGGGATTCTTTACCCATATTACTCAAAACTTCGTATCTGTTCTGAAGCTGTATTTGAGTCCGAGCTGTATTTGGGGTAGAAGACGCTAATGCGGCAGCGTATGATCTGACCCCACGAGTACCCTTTGGTCTCGCACCTTGTTTATGCCAATGCTCATTTTCAACAGTTCTTTTCTGTTTTTCTGTGCTCAAAACAGTAGCAGGAACAGATGTATGGGACTCACCGGCTGTGTGCTGAGAGAATCCACAATGAAGCTGAAGTTCTGGTCGGATCGCAAGCAACTTCGTTTCAAGAACTGCAATCTTTTGTAGAAGTTTGTGGCAGTTTGTACAGCAGTGAGAATCTGAATTAATCCGATCCAGAGGCATTTTCACAGCTGTGTCTTCCCGTCTCCGGAATGTAAGCAGCTGGTAGCTGGTAGCGGGAGGATTGTTTAGACGGTAATTTCCCTCTTGTTAGTAAAGCTATATTCCAGAAAGTTTGTAGAATCGATGCTGATCTTCAAGCCGTGTTGTTTGAGCACTGTGCTGATAGGCTCAAGTTAAAATTAGGGTATAAGATATAAAAGCAAGAGTGTGAAGAGCGGAGCAGTGGGCAAAGACGTCCGAACAGTAGCAAAGCAGGAAGTAGATCTGAACATAATAGCAGTGATGCATATGTGCTAGACAACTTGTTAGGTTGTTTGTCATCTAATATGATTATTTGTTCTTATCTACGCATTGCTATCTATGTGTTGTTAATTTAAGATTGTATTCAGTTTGATCGGAATATTCTTATTGACTATAACGAGCACATATCACACACACACAAACCCACACATATCGGATCTGACAGCCTTCATAGCAGCACAGGGGAGATGTGTGCCAGTCACTGAATCCAGCATATGGTCTCTTAACTCGCCGCCACACTCTGTCTTTATATTATGCTCTGTGTTTGTCATGAAGGCAACTGTGGTCAGTGCTCAGTTGTTGGATCAAAATCTGACTCCGAGGGCAAATCTGACTCTTCGTGTGTGCGTGCATAACGCAATGCCTGCAGTTGTGTGAAACTCACAGGGGTTTATCATAAACTTTTCATCGATCATTTTTCACGCAATTGACAGCAAGAATGTAGAAGAACGTGACAAGCAGCATTAAAATGCATTTGAAAGAATCTGAAATGCCAAATAGGATAAATTTATGCCGCATTTTCTGAAGTAAATCATACTATCTGTATTGAGCTTTTCACTTGTACATGCTTTAGTTTTTTTTATTTAGTTTTTTTAAATAAAATCAGTTTTTCACTGTATAAAAATATATCATTTTGAAATATTTATAATTATCGGCTTAAATATATCGGCTATCGGCCTCTAAATCTGAAGAGGTATCGGTTATCGATGCCGGTGCATCACTAGTTTTTATGTAATTATGTAATGTTTTGTATACATTGAAATTAAATTTTGGCAGCTCAGTATGCTGCTGTCTCTGAGCTCTTTGAATGTCTCTTACTGTAATATGGTATCTCTTACTACAGGGTTTGTTCTTTGATGATGCCTATGGGTTCTATCCAGGTCAGGTTTTGATTGGTCCTGCAAAGGTGTTTGCAAATGTGCAGTGGCTTTATGGTGTGAAACCAGTTCTCAGTAAGAAAAGCAAGTTCCGAGTTGTTGTGGAGGAGGTAAGTTGTTAAACTCTCTAATGCCAGAAAGAGTTCTTGGAATGTAACAAATCACAACAGTAAAAGACAAAATCAAACAAGTTTTTGGTACATGTCTTTACATAATTTAATATTTTACATTTCTTGTTATCATATCTGCAGTTTGTGTCCAATTACAGGTTCAAGTAGTGGAGCTCAAGGTAACATGGATTACGAAAAGTTACTCTCCAAAGGGTTCAGACAGTGTCTTCCCACCACCTTCGACTATCACACAGGAGAACCTTTCCAGGTGCAATCAACTTTCCACATGGCAGTGTATAATTTTGGATATTTATTACTGCTTGCTATGGATGAAAAAATTAAGAAATAAAAGAGTAACAAACTATTTACACAACCTTTGGCCTAAACTGGCAGAGATAGGTGGACAGTAATTTATACTGTTAACTTAGGCCGTACTCACACTAGGTACAGTTGCCTCGAACCGGGCCAAAGCACGCTTGTCCCCCCTCCCGTCTCCCCCGACGGCCCGCGCTCACACCATATCGGGCCTCGGCACGCTTGCGTCATCGCTGCTGCGCTGTTTAGAAACGATCTCTATGGCAAGCCTTTTTAGCATTTAAATCTTTGTTCTGACTTCATAAATATATTTAGAGATATCTCTAATTATATTTTGACTAGTCATAATTATAATTCGACTAGTCAGAATAACAATTAGAGATATCTGCAATTGCAATTGTACTAGTTCGAAATCATATTGGAGATATCTGCAAATATATTATGACTAGTCATATTCCTCTATTGACTTCCATTGAAAAATATTTGCAGATATCTCTAAATGAGTTTTGACTAGTCACAATTGTAATTAGAGATATCTATAGAAGTTTTTACTAGTCATAATACATTTGGAGATATCTTTAATTTGTCATATTTAGAGATATTTACAAATATATTTGAAGATATCTCTAATTAATTACTAATAGTCGAATTACAGTTGTAGATATCTTGAATTGGATTTTTGACGAGTCAAAACTCAGTTAGAGATATCTGCAAATATTTTTTAATGGAAGTCAATAGAGGAATATGGAATTGGATTTTTGACGAGTCAAAACTCAGTTAGAGATATCTGCAAATATTTTTTAATGGAAGTCAATAGAGGAATATGACTAGTTATAATATATTTGCAGATATCTCCAATCTGATTTCGACTAGTACAATTGTAATTGCAGATATCTCTAATTGTCATTCTGACTAGTCGAATTATAATTATAACTAGTCAAAATATAATTAGAGATATCTCTAATGGATAGTCAGAACAAGGTTTAAATGCTAAAATGGCTTGCCATACGCTCTCACCCAGTAGCACAGTGGAGATTTCTCTAGTTATATCGTTTCAGTCATTTGATATGCCGTCAAATATTTCGCCAAACAGTCCTTAGGGATGCGGGGATACGCAGTCAGATATTTCACCGAACAGATCCACCACTTTTGGCGCTTCTAAACAATCATAAAGCTCTCGTGCTGCAGGAATGAGGAGGTCTGCTGAAGGCGCGCAGCTGACGTGCAGTGAGGAGTTAGCGTCTTTAATAAACTACGGCAGTTTGCGATCACTGAACAGTAAGAATAATTAATAAATCCATATGAAACAGCCCCTTAAAAGTCACGTCTCGCTTTCGGTTTCGGGCTTTGGCGCGTTTTGCGCTCACACACAAGCGTACCGCGCCAAAGCCCAATTGATCCGCGCTCAGGCACACCTCTTCCAAACGGGCCAGGGCCGGCCAAGTGAACCGTGCTTAAGCCCGATTCAGCGCACTAACACTTCTCAAACGATCCGGGAAACGGGCCTGGGCACGGTACGGATGGCATAGTGTGAGTAGGCCCTTAAAGCAGTTGGCCTGCTATGACTCCCAAGCTGTATGTTTCTTATACCCTCTACTGTGGCTCTCTAAAGCCTAGTATTTTCAAATGATGTCTTTACTCCTTTACGCCATTTTATTAAGTACACCTTGCTAGTGCCGGGTTGGACCCCCTTTTGCCTTCAGAACTGACATAGTGACATAGATTCAACAAGATACTGGAAATAATCCTGAGAGATTTTGGTCCATACTGACATGATAGCATTCCAACACATCCCGAAGGTGCTCTATTGGATTGAGATCTAGTGGCGGCGGAGGCCATTTGTGTACAGTGAACTCATTGTCATTTTTAATAAACCAGTCTGAGATCGAACAGATGGTACGATTTCCTGCTGGAAGTAGCTATCGGATAATGGGTACACTGTGGTCATAAAGGGATGGACATGGTCAGCAAAAATACTCAGGTAGGCTGTGGCATTGACATGATGCTCAATGGGCACAATTTGGACCCATTAGTACCAAATATATAAAACATATCCCCGCACCATTACACCACAACCACCAGCTTAAACTAATAAAGGCAGGATGGATCTATGCTTTTATGCTGTTGATGCCAAATTCTGACCTTACCATTTGAATGTCGCAGCAAAAATTGAGACTAATCAGACCAGGCAACGTTTTCAAATCTTTTGTTATCCAATTTTGGTAAGCCTGTGTGAAATGCAGCCTCAGTTTTCTGTTCTTAGCTAACTGGAGTGGCACCCGGTGTAGTTTTCTGCTGCTGTAGCCCATCTGCCTTGAGGTTTGACATGTTGTGCATTCAGAGATGGTCTTCTGCATACCTAGGGTATAACGAGTGGATATTTGACTGTTGCCTTTCTATCAGCTTAGACCACTCTGGTCATTCTCCTCTGATCTTTGACATCATCATTTGCGCCAACAGAACTGCCACTCACTGTATATTTTCATTTCTTTGGACTGTTCTCTGTAAACCCTGTCGAGGTTGTGCATGAAAAGACCAGCCCTTCTGGCGCCAACAACCATGCCACATTCAAAGCCACTTAAATCAACTTTCTTCTCCATTCTGATGCTTGATTTGAACTGCAGCAGATTGTCTTGACCATGACTTCCCTCCCTAAGTGCATTGAGTTGCGGCCATGTGATAAGATGATTAGAAATTTGCGTTAGTGAGCAATTGGACAAGTGTACCTAATTAAGTGGCCAGTGTGTGTGTGTGTGTGACTATATATGTATATATATATATATATATATATGTATATATATATATATGTATATATGTATGTGTATGTGTATATATATATATATATATATATATATATATATATATATATATATATATATATGTATATATATATGTATATATATGTGTGTATATATATATATATATATATATATATATATATATATATATATGTATGTATGTGTATATATATATATATATATATAT